GTTAGTAAGTTCTAATTTAAAAAGTTATAAATATTATATAAATGCTTATATAATCATAATTCAGTCATTTATTATATAAAGTAACTATATTTTGATATAATAAATTGCATAAATAATACCTAAAACATATTCTAAACTTCTTAGTCACTTTAAAAATGACGAAATTACTATTATTGTCGTATGAAAAAAGATAGCAGGAAAAAAATCGAAATAAATTTTTGCAATCATCTCTTGTTACGGCCCTGGAAAGTTTATTTTTACTGGCCGCAAGCAATAGATTTTATCAGCCAATTAATAACTGTAGGATAGGGTTTTTAAATTTAATTTTCAAGTGAAGGGGCTCTTGAAACGCTAAATTAAAATTATGATTTTAAAAAGGATACACATAATAGTGATCTGCATCGGGCCTAATTTTTCAAGCCCGGCCCGAAATTTTTTTAAAAATTTTTTGCAGGCCCGGCCCGGATTTATTTAAATATCGAAATTCATTTTTATAATTACTCAAAATAAAAGATATATATTATATGACGTCTAATTTTTATAAATAAAATCAAATATTTTTATTTTACATAAAAAATCGAACCCGATTTTTTTTAAAATAGGCCCGGCCCAAAGCCCGTTCGGGCCGGGTACGAGCCTGGCCTACTTTTGCAGATCACTTACATAATGAATTTATTTATTATAGGAGTAATAATATAATAAAATATCTTTTAATTTTAAATCTATCGAGAAATATTAATTATAGTATTGATTTTAAAAAAACGTAAAAACAAATCATCAAAATATCGAAAAAATATTTGATAAAAATTATTTTGAAAAATTGTCATAAATCGATTAAATTTAATAAGGAATGGGATTGGATTTTGTTAGTCGTGTATATAAATAGTAAATTACATATATAAAGAATTTTTTTTTGACTTATAAAATCCTCAATTTTTACTAATCGATATAAGTAAAAAAAGGATATATAAGTTAATATAAGGGAAGTTAATAAATATACATAATTCCTAAAAAATATTTTTTAATTTTTTACAATATATTTTCTAAAAGTCCCGGAAGTATTGCTAATTTCGGGAGAGAGGGGCGTGAATACCAATATTCAAATATACAAAATAATAATAACATCTAATTTAAATTTTTTAATAGATGTCCTAGAAAAATTTTACCGATATCAAAACACATTCTTTCAATAGCGTAAACAATTTAAAGCTAAATATGGTGGCATGCAATCAATGACTTGAGTTAACAGGAGAAAACCATAAGAATTATATAGAAAGCACCCATTGTAAGAAGTAATATTATTATATCACCTAACTTTAGCCAGCTAGAATAGAGCATAGCCAAAAAATTCACTTAAACCTCTAAGTTGAGCCTAAACTTAATAATTGAGACAAAATAACTATAAGATAAAAACTTGGCTAAGCCGTTTTGAAGTTTGCGAAAGATATTAAATTTAACATTGGCACGAAGTCAAGAGCCAGGTTTTTTATAAAAACTTTTTAAATATAAATTTTTATAGTATGTTTTTTGGTGGCCGCGGCATTTAAAAAAATTACATCGGTCTGGTCAGATAATTATATAAACTAAACGTATATCGTAATCTAAAAAAACTTTTTTTTACCACAATTAAATGAATTGTATCCAGTAGAAGATCCATATAATTATCAAATCACACAAAACCTAGAATTTCATAAAACTCGAAAAAAAAAACAAAAAAATCTGCATTTAATCATTATTGATATTGATGATTTTAAATCATATATAATATTATATATTATTTATTAGAAATGTAAAATTAAAACACTTGGTATTTTTATTTTATTTTAAATTTATAGGAATTGATTATAAAATATATTAGTAACATGATAAAATCAATAAAAAAATAATAATAATAAACAATATCTAATAATTTTGTAATATCTAATAATTTTGTAATATCCATATTTTATTTTATTATTTTTTTTTTATACTTTTTATAAAAAAATATGCTAACTACAATAATACCACTAATATTTATAATGTATTTTAAGATAAAAATTGTAATTATGATAGGAAAAAGAAAGACAAAAAATATTTGCATTTGGTTAATGAAGTAACTAAGCATTCTTCCTTTTGGAAAAGTCTTAATTACTATTATTATCAGATTTAATGGAATAGATAAACTAAGGGTTTTATTATATACTAAGTATAAAATATTAGTGATTTAAATAAACTTTATTCAATAAACCCGAAACAAAAATGACTATTAATTATTGTGTTTAATATTTTTAGCTGCGTTTGGGACCCAACTAAAAAGGATTCAGGCTATATTATATATATTTTCGAAAAGTGGTTCTGGTTTCAATTCTAAATTTTTGTTCATAACGGATCAGATTCCAGTTTGATTTATAGTAGATATCCCTATTTTAAGATACCCTAACATAAACTAAGGCTTTTTAGTCCCCATACTATACCTAGTTTAAATAAAATTTTTATTGATAACTAGAGCAAAAAATGGTAAATTTATCTAAACCCCACCCTCTACTAATTCCTTATAAATAATTTTCGAAAAACACCCATGCGAGATTTCATTATATTAGGAGCCCATTAGGAGGAACAGATGGAATTTTCAAATTTTTAAATAGTCACTTGCAATCATTATTCCTCAAACTACCAGTTTAAAAAAATTATCCATCCATCAAGCTTATTTTATTCTCAAAAATGTCATTCCTCAAGTTCAATGTTTAAAAACCTCAGGTGCTTTCACGTTTGAAACTCTTTAAAAGAATACAAACAAAACTTTTTAAGAATGTTCGGGAGGCTTAGGCTTTAAATTTGCTATAACTATTGCTCTTGTTTTTCCATATCTTCTATAAAATCCGTGAAACATATCATTTCCCAGATCATTTCAACTGATAATGAGAGTTTGATGGACGAGCCTTAAATTTCTAGACCACGATTTCTTGCCAAATATACCTCAACCAGAGTCATCAAAGCAAAAAGATGTATATAAGATTAGTATCTCGTTCCTTCGCTTACCTAAACTTGAGCGATGATCAACAATACAAGTCACTCCTTGGGACGCTTAATTTTAGCAATTCAGGCCATGATTGGCTTGATTCCTACCACAGTAGTTTAAACAATCAACTAATAGATAACGACTCATGTTATGCAATCAGTTTGCGCCTGGGCATACCATTTTTAAACCAATACACGCAACAAATGTAATCAGGTTGCAGTCTGTTTTGGACGTCAAGCGCCCCATTGTAAATTCATATCATTAATCCACACACAAAATTAACACACTGATTGCCACATTTCTCAATAAGGCAAATCTCCCTTATGTTTGAACCCACGTTCAGCAAAGATAAAAAACGCCTTGACGCCTAAACTATAGTTCCCTTTGTAACTGGCCAGCCCTTGGTTTGGGATTTTACTTGAATATACCCCCTTACCCCTTATTATAATGTACATGACCCTCTTCTCAGGGCTGAATCATTAAAATTTCAAAAATATTGTTATCTGCACTTTATCCCCATCATAGCTACATCATCCCTGCTTATTTGGGCAAGCAGTTATGAATCTTTTCAAAACGGTTTCCAAATCCATAAGGAAAAAAACACATATCTTTCTTTTTTATAAACTCAAACACATTGCTATCACAATATTCGTTCCAAATATTTAATGTAAGTTCTTGGCCCGAATTAATTTTTTTTGCTTTTTTTAAAAAATATTTGTTTTTTTTAAAATATTTTTCATGTTTTATTTAACATAGATTTATCTGTAAATTTCTAATATATATTAATTTTCAAGTAAAAAAAAAGATTCAACAGGAGCAAGATGTAAGAAAAGACTTCCAAAATCTTTTTTTGGTCTGAGGCCAGGCGTAAAAAACTTTCTATTCGGGTCCGGCAAATAAAAATGATTAGAAAATATCGGATAAATTTCAGTCTAATTTATTTTCTTCACCGAATGATAGAACTAATTTAGTATCTAGATATTTTTTGATTTCATTTCCATAATCTGCAACTTAATGACTGCTACTCTGCAATTCTCAAAATACTAGTTTGCTATTTAGAAAAAAATACGATTAAGTAGCTGAAAAATATAAATACAATATTCTTCTTACATTTATATTGAAACTATTATTAATTCATAGGCGCCCAAAGGGATGGTCTCCTTTATAACTTCCCTTAAAAATTGTTATACTCATATTGCAATTTTTTAATATACTTAAAAGCCTTGCCCCGCCTCCTAACTTTATAATACATGCTTTCAGAGTTATTTAATTTTATTTTATATCCTTGAAATTTTAATAAATAAATCCTAAAATACCTAAATCAAATTTTATATCCAGAAGTTATATCTTTGATCACAACTAAATCTTAGAAAAGAATAAATTTGTTAAAATCCACCATATTTTATATTGACTTAAATTTTTTATCAACTATATTCACTTCTACAGTATTCATCCAATTTCTTATTGTGCCTTTGATATAGCACAAACATTTTATGATGATTTATAGATTAGTTAACTTGGGTTAAACATATTATTCTTTGAAATAAAAAGTCAATCAAAGTATTAAATTATTGTTATATTCTACTTACATCCGTAACACAACACCTTGTAGGGTTGTGCTTTCTACTTGCATAATAAAAAACTTATGAGTGAATTTTTTTGCTCTTAATTTTCTAAAATCTCCTGCAAATGAATTAAATATATTAAAATTAAACTTAATTAATTGGATATTATATACAAAATAAAGGCTCCTATTTAATCGGTCAGAATTGGAACTGAAATGCTCAGAAAAAAGAATCCTTAAACGCTCAGAATAAATACTGAATGCCCAGAATTATTATCTAATGCTCAAAAATAAATATTTGACTAGATACAAAACTAAAACCCACAAATAAAATATCGAAAAACACACAATTAAAATTATTAATTAAGTAAGAGAAAATTTATATAATATTAATAATTTAAATAAGCAAAAATTTATGATTCTTCATGCAAAACGTACCATTGGCTTTTGGGGGCCACTAATCCTCTCGAATTCTGCGCATCTTACTCGCGTTTCAGTTTTTGTCATTAATTTTTGCTTTAATCGGCTGAGATTCAAATTCCTTTTTAGTGCCAACGTTATAATTTCCTAAGCACAGGATGTTCAATCAGGAGGTCTCGGTCATCGAAAGTGTAAAGCTGAGATAAATGATAAATAACAATTATTACATTTTGGCAATACATATTCAAAATATATAATCATATGATTATAAGTATACCTGAACGCTGAAGTTTCAATTAGTAGCGGCGGTTTTTTATATTTATTTATCGCATTCATCGGCACGCCGAATTAACCGCCCCCTAACGAATAGGGACAGCGTTACATTTTTTAAATTAATTTGATTTATAATTCAATATATTACATTTTTTATAATTTATTTAGGCACTTAACTTCAACATTGTTAATATAATTAAGTGCGTTAAATCGTTTCTTTCCCAGCCTTATTAGAAATCGAATTTAGTAATATTGTAGAATAAATATTATTTGTTGAGATTGGTAGGGCATAAAGAGGTTTTTTTGTCGTTGAGTATTAATCCAGCGATGAAAAAGATTATATCATTAGGTGTGTTAGTTGCAGGTATACATACTATTCCTAGCTAAATTCGTAAGTCTAGTCGCTTTTCCTCAAAAGATTAGGGCATCCAATTCTGGTATATTATGCTTGCTGAGTAAAATACGGCATTCTTGTTTTAGATTGTTAGTGTTATTAAAATCTTGGTTTAGAAGGGGATGTTTACAAGCTATCTTATCTATATATGAATTGGATGTTTGCCGATTATATCTAACTTGAATCTCACTTTCAGCATTTCTACCTTGCTTTGTAAGTTTTAAATATTATTAAAAATTTTAATAATATTGTAGAATTCAAATTTAAATATTCTGAAACAATTTTAAGATTATGAAATCGATATAACACTCTCAAAATTATTATCAATAAGGCACGCTCGTTTTCCTGTAGACATTTTTAGCCATACTTAAGTCTTTCGGCAATAATTATTATGATTATATATTGTTGAAATCAATCAGATTTATTTGTAGGAACATTCAGCGTCCGCTCTGACTAATCTGGCACCCTACACATATAAAACACTAATCTACCTCTTTTATGCAAAAAAAAACTAGAAAAGTACTAATTTGGGAACAGATATGATCACATCTCATAAATTAAAGTATTCAGCACAATATCATTTACTAAAATTTCCTTGTCGCCAGCGTTTATCCGTTAAAATAACTTCAAATTGATCATTTTTATCACAGCTATTTTGACATTAATTTGCTATTTTGAATATTTTGGGAAATAAAAATTCAAAATGTTATTAAAATTTTATGAAAATCAATCTTTAATACAAATTTTTGCAGGGTCCTGTGAGTGTTAATAAGTCCTACATTTTATTTTTTTTAAATAATGCAGTCATCATAAGATTCGTTGACGTCCTCTTTCCTTCTTATGTTGACTCCATCCTATTAGTCCTGATTAAATTTGGGTAATTACTATATTTTTAGCCGTTTAAGCCAATTTTTAAACGGCTAAACCAAGTTTTTAACCGAATATCACTTTGACTTCGGGGTTTTTCTTAAAAAGATAGCAGCTCAAATTTGAAAGAAACTAATATAAATTAAAACGCCTTAATGCTAACGTATTGTCACAGATATCTGAAGATTGAGCCGAATAAGCAGACATTTAGCTATTACCCCTATCACATTTGTAAATTTCCAAATTTTAATTTTTTCAATTTTCATCAGTGCCTCTTTTAACCAGTAAAAATCCTTTATATTTGAATTTCCTTCCACATCTATGAAATAAAACTGATATTTGCTTAGTCTGCAAACAATCCAGTAGAGTCCTGCAAGTTGGCTCGAAGACCGGCTCGGGTCGATTCATACCAATCGTAGATTCTTTTATAATAAAAAACAACAAAAAAAATATTTCCTCTTTTTTTTAAAAATAAAATGATAATTTATCAGCGATAAGGACAAAGAAATTAGCAATTTTTACTTCATAAAAATTCGTTAAATTTGTACAAAATTTTCGGACCGGCCCAGACTCAGGGCGAAAATTTTTTTAATTTGCATGACTCTACAAAGCGGTGTATGGAAATCATTTGCGTTTTATGCGTATAATTTCGGTTTAAATTGAATTTCTAATTAAATAATATTATTTGGTTTTGAATATTTTCCCCAATTTCTTGAAATTAAATAAATAACAAATGCCAAACATTATTGATCCATAAATAAAGATAATTTTAAAAAATATGGGCGATGTTTAAAAAATTGCTTTACGTTGAGCATCTCCAAAAATAAATTATTAGCCATTCTAAACAAATTAATTTTGATAATAAATTTTACAATATTTTTAAACGTCCGAATCAAAATTTGATGGCCACTACATACTTGGGTAATGAGAAACTTATATTAATGGTAGTTTTAAATATTATGAAAATGATTTCAACAGGGGTTCAAACCGAACCTGGAGAATAAAAAATTTGAACCCGAACCGAACCTTAACTCCGTTTGTAAAATTTTCAAAACCCCGAACCGAACCCGGGAATTTTATTTAAACCCGGGTTCAGTGTATTCTTTAAATAATATATTTGTATAATTGTAAATACAAATGTTAATAATTTACATGGCATTTTATAATATTTTCAAATTTCCATTTAAGTGAAGTGTTAAGAAATTTATAACAACTTAATTCATTTACTCCATTTTTAAATTTATTCTCAGATTCCTATTGGATTGTTAATAAATTTTACAATTAAATTCATTTACGCCATTTATTTTTAATTTTTAACTTATTCTCAAATATTATTATTTAGAGGAAAATGAAAGTGAACAAGTCAAAGTAAAAATTATTATATTGGATATTGTTAATATAAAGAAATACGTCTAAATAAAATTTTTTAAATCTATACATGACTATGCTTTGTATTTTTAACTATTTGCCTATAAATAAAATAAAAAATTTATTTTTTATACCAAATTTATGTCTAGTTTTTTAATTATGATTTAAATATAGAATATTTTTTTTATCAATTCAAAAATTCTTAAACCCGAACTGAACCCGAAACCAAACCCGGGTTCAAAAATATTTGCCTGAATCGAACCCGAACCTACCTATTTTTTTAACCTTAAACCGAACCCGAACCAAACCCGGGCAAAAATTTTGCCGGATTCGCATCCTTGGATTATATTGAAATATAATAATTTAATTATAATTTTAAAAATATTTCACACAATGCTAGTGTTGTTAAACGGCTTATTTTGAGCCGATTTTTAAAAACGGCTAACTCAATATTATAGCCAGAAAAATATTGTCTAAGCCTCAAGATTTCGTTAAAAGATTTTCAAACCTTTGTGCCATCTATGAGAAAAATCTTAATTGCATAATATTTTTCCTAATAAAATACTGAGTTAGCCGTTTTTAAAAATCGGCTCAAGAGCCGTTTAACAACACTATATCAAGCCGCCTTCAATTAACTGTTAGACCTCTTTTATAGTAAGAGCAATTTGCATCCCTCCATAATAAATTATACCTAATTTTCCTGCTTTTGTAAATAAGACATTGACTTAGGCGAATCGCGTTTACTATAAATGAAAATGTGTCTAGACCAAAAAATGGTATTTGATCCAAAATACTGGTATTATTTTTACAAATCAAATAATTTCTTAATAGGTACAAAACAAACAGATTTGATTTGAAAATTAAATGCCTTATAATATTTTCAAAAGTAAAAAAATTTATCGAATATAAAAAATGATTAGTATGAAAATAAAAAGTTCCATAAGAATGTTGAATGCTTACGAATATTTTCAAATATTTACAAAAGGTTATTATTTGAGGAATAATATTTATTATTATTCATATTCAATTCGTCTTTGGTATAGGCAATGACATAGTCAAAAATGACCCAAGCATGGCACCACAAAGACTAGTGTTGTTAATCGACTAAGTCTAGTCGACTTAGCCGAAAATTGGAGTCAAGTTTTGGGTCGAAAAAATTATCGACCCAAAACTGACTCAAGTTGTGAACTCAAGTCTATCAACTTGAGTCGACTAGAGGACGAATAGTTCTATCAACTTGAGTCGTCGACTAGAGACGAATAGTTCTATCAACTTGAGTCGTCGACTAGAGGACGAATAGTTCTATGAACTTGAGTCGTCGACTAGTGGACGAATAGTTCTATGAACTTGAGTACTAAAGGACGAAGATTTTAGATTATTTATTATTAATAAAACATTTGTTTTTTTATTTTTAACTTTAGACTTCCAACTTGAGTCGTTATACGAAATATAATATATTTGAGTCGACTAGAGGACGAATAGTTCTATGAACTTGAGTCGTCGACCAGAGGACGAAGATTTGAAATTTTATTATTAATTAAACATTTGTTCTGTTTTTTTTATTTTTTACTTTAGACTTCCAACTTGAGTCGTGAACACGAGTTATATACTAATGTCGACTAGAGAACGAATAAATTATTGGGAATGTGGAAGATCGTGATTTAAAGTCTAGAATTTTTAATATATTTTTTTAAAGCTTTTATCAGAATTGTGACAAACATTATAGCAATTTAATATAATATAGCGATACACTTTATACCAACAAGATGTTTATTATAAATCGCGAAGGGGTGAGGGGGGGGGGTGTTACTGCTTAAAACCTATTCATATTGTGATGTATATTGCCTTAGAAGAACCAGAGCTCTATTATGACGAAAATAATTTAGCTGGCTCACTAATTTTATATTCCTATCCAGGCCTGAAATTTTTTTTTTAATAATTAATATAATTTGAATTTATTTTTTGTTTCTTCGAAACACTCCCTTTTTTCTCTTTTTAATAATATATTATTTGTTTTCATGGTACTTTTAAAATAATTAAGATTTTTATATTTTATTTTATATTTTTTTTTAGTTATATTAAAAAAATGTAACATATTTTATTGTTTTATTTATAAAAATTTAATTATTAATAAAAAATTCATTCGCTTAGATTTTTTAGTTATTCAAATGTCTTATTTATGTGAACGATAATTCTATATTTAATATTCTCGTAAAAATTATGCGAGACATAATTTTTGATATTTGAGAATTTTCTAAGCTGAGGTAATTTTAAAA